AAATTGTAAGCAGATGTTGACCAGCAGAATCACATTTTATTTGTGCATTTTGTTTTGCAAATGCATACAACATTTGGTCAACATCTGAAAATTTTGAAGATATTTCCCAACCCCCATTAATCATGATTCATTTGTTTATTAATTAAAAATGTCAAAGCCCAATAAATGTAATTTCAGTTGCATATATTACAATGCAGGAGTTTATCATTTCTCTAGCTTACAGAAGAGAGATTTGGTAATGCAGAAAGAACAGAGCTAGATGCACAGTTTGAGTACCTGTGCAAGCGAGCAGACACAACAAAGCAGGCAACTGAGAAGCTTGTTGCAAATACAGCTGCCCTGTTAAAGCCTAACCCAGGTGTGTATTTTGAATTATGTTGCTCCTAGACTTATCTCTATTTTTCTTTATTCTGTTTTTGTTTTGTTTTCTGTTTTTCTACAAAGTAAAATTGAAATTCAGTCATATATGATCAACCATAATATGGATCTGTCAAATGGACTGCAAATGATCAATGCAGTAGTAAAATTTTGATCCCCAGTATAACATTGCAAGCCTAAAGCCTGGTTCATAGTTTTGAACTTATTAGCTTACGCTAAATTCTGCACAAGGGTAAGCTTTGAAGCATACGCTTTTTCATCTTGCATATCCAAAAAGCGTGAACACGTACGTTTTCCGCATGTCCATACGGGAAGCTTGAAACGATACGCCATAAGCTTTTTCGGTTCATAGTTTCCAGACATGCCGTCGAGGAATGTTCCTCTTGCCCTTCTACTTGTAGGGAGAAAAAATAAAAAGAACAGCAAACATGCTGGTATATTCTACTTAAAAATACTTTACGAACCGTTTGCGGGGATCGTGCCGTTATTGTCAACGATTCGCGTTTGATGTCAATGATTCCGGTATAAAAAGCCATTTTTCTTCCTCCTGTCCAATAATTTAATATTTTTCCCGATTTCTTACCCTGGGTTCCAGACTGATGGTCCTCTAGCAAGGAATCATACATGTGGGGGTATTTGTGTATCTCTTCACAAAGTTTTCTTTCAAAATCGGCCATTGCTAAGAAATTTTCCGTACGGAAGGCAAAAAAAGTTGAATATTTCTCAACTCGATAAGTTCAAGGCATACGGGTTTGCAGAAAACAGAATAAACTTCTGTATGAAAAACCTAGAAACCAAGGCTGGTTTTTGGAAATTTGTGCTGACTTTTCAGTTTAACAATGAGATTTTTCAAAAGGGATGTCATTTTCTTTTAGTCGCATGAGCTTAAAAATCATTTCTTTATACTTGAACTTATCTTAACACCTAAAAAAGCCAGAAAAAATGAATGCCATCCACATTCAAAATATGGCCCTAACACAAGCCTTTATGATGACTAAAAGATTATAATTAGCTCTCTAAGAGTTAATATATAACCAAAACCAACTAATGATGCAGGTTTCTTTATTGTAACATATAGATTCCACTAACAACTATCTTCAAACAGATTCTTTAATTATTTTTTATGACAAACACAAATTTTCCTCTTTTATTTTATTTTATTCTATTTTATTTTATTTTAAGGGCTTCTCTAATATGTCAGACTTCATTACTAAATCTGTTCAGATTATTATACTTTCAAACATTTATCGATAACGGGATAAACAGGGATAGACTTCGATTTAACTTCAAGCAACAACAAGTTCAATAAACCATGCCTATGTAAATCAAGACAGCACTGGAGCTTTGCCTGTACAATACATATTTTCAAAGGGAGTTTTAATGTGCCTGTTAAGATTTTATTCATGCCAAGGCCTGGTTTCAAGCTTATTATCAAAGGCCTAAGTACATCATTTATCTCATGGTGTTTGTCCAATACGAATCAAACTCTTTTGTTAATGAAAGCTGATTCATTGTTTTCAAATGATGCTGATGCAGGTGCAAGACTTGAAGACTTTGTTTTCGAGAAACTCGACAAACAGTCTCCATTGAGGCCAACAAATTCATTTCTTCTTGGCCAGTCAATGTCATCTGCAGGAAGAGAGATTGGCGCTGATAGTGATTATGGTAAGACAAACTTTTTTCTGTAGTTGTTTCTGTGAAATATATTAGCCTCTTGCTCCTGCCTGGCAAAGTTAGTATTCTAGATATAATTGCTGTCAGGGGCAAAACTAACAAAAAATTTTTGGAGGGGTATAAAATTTTGCCAACAAAAAGACATGCCTTACTCTTTAAGGGTATGGTCAACAGATAAGTACTTTTTGCTGCTATTTTGCATTTCTAAATCAATGTTAATACTTAAGTGCCATACTACTTTAGTGAAAGTTCAACTACTACAGAAATGTTAATACCTTACAATTGTTGCAAAAAGTTTACAAGAGGAGAAAACAATTTCTTCTTTTGCCCGGCAAAAATCCTTAATGTGCTGCAGGTCAGAGTGTAAAGGGGAGCACCAACCCCTCAAATCCTCCTCTGACAGCACCCCTGATTGCTTCTCTCCTCGCACTGTTCCATATCTTAGCAGTCATTTCTTTTCTTCTTTTTATTGCCTATCCCTTCACTTTTGTACATTTTCTTTATCTTGTCTCGTGACTATTCTTCTGAATTCATCATAAGATCATTTTCATATCCCCTTTCTTCTTTTCCTTGCAACTTTAATTTCAAACCAATTAGATTTCTCCATTTGAAAGCATTCATAGCATCATTTATACTCTAATTCTATTTAGGAAATTCCCTTAATAAAACTGGAACAGCACTAAAAAAGATCGGAAATGCAGAAAAGGACTTTATGCAGAAGACAATCTCACATTACATTCATCCACTGAAAACATTTCTTGATAATGACATGAAAACTCTTGCAGTGAGTAGATTTATATTTTGTTTGAAGGCTCATTGGAGAATTGCTACTGCTGCATGGTAATATGTCTCTAAATGCATTTTCAAGTTTGTTTCAGAAAACAGACAATAGAAAACAGAGAACAGAAAAAGAACCTGCATCAGTTATGCTTTATACAACTCATCAGTCCTTTTCGTTTAGCGCGTGCGATCGCACCCGCACACGCCTGCACACGCGCAAGTTAAATTGCGCGTGCTTTTGACCACACGCGCAAACAGGTGTTTTAGCAGTTTTCTGTTAAAGGGCCTCTCCAGCCAAATTTTGCACTTGCATTTTATTGGCAATTTTTATAAAGAAGTTGAGCCTTGTGATCACGAATTCGTTATTTGTTTTTCGATATTTTTTTACAGTTTGTGAGATATAAGCTCTTGCATTTCGATAATTTAATTTAATTAACCGACAAAAATTTTTGGTTTGGTGACACTGTGACGCAATTTTGACGTCACAGTGTATTTCGGATAGTCTCGCCTCAAACCGAATCGAACGACGGCGATTCGCAAATTGAACACTGCAAGTGATGGTACTTTCAGTTCTGTTCCGCCAGCTTTTAGTTTGAGCATTTCAGACACCAATTCTGAAGCCTTTAGTTGTTCATCGTTTCTGGAGAACAACTGAAGTGACAATTTCGATTAATTATACGCGAGGGAAGAGCTGGAACAGGAACTGGAACTGGATGCAGTTATCAACGCGTGACCATGAGTCCTTCACGCTTCGGTGGAAGATATACGAAATTCATGGCGAACGAGAGCCGCACATTGTGACGTCAGAATGTCACCAAACTGATTCGGCTTTGTCGTTTTTTTTCTCGGAAAGGTGCAACTTTAAAGCCTTACAACTTCTAAACTAATCGGAATTTTTCAAAAACAATGACTTTGTCATAATACACGCACCAGATGCTAACTTTTAAGTCATTAAAAAAAATTTTTTTTTGCTGGAGAGGCCCTTTAACATCAATTTCCCATGGTCTCATGATTGTTTATCCTTTCCCTTGTTACTTGATTCGGACTTTTGACCACAATATGATTTTTCCAATTTTCGGAAGTGATGTTTGGCTTTTGACTGAGTGCTCAATTCAACTTAGCGTCTCGTCTTTCAGCTAAGTCGCCATTAGCATGTTAAGTGTAATAACTGATTTCCTGTCAAAACGTAATTAGGCCCTGAAAGCAAGTAGCTGTTGGAAACAATTTTTACTTGCTCTTGTAACTTTGGAGAGTTACGACGACTTTTAAAAGATGGCTGCTAAGGGCAACAAAATCTGTTATGTATTGATTAATTGAGTTTTGCTCTTGCACGTATTCGAGTGACTTTTTCCTTCTTGCTCCTTTTACCAATTTTATCAGGTTTGTACTTCAAATTTTCTTACAAGTGCGATCGCACGCGCAAATTTGTTTACATGTGCGATTTGCCACACACGCGTAATTTTGCTCACGAAAAGGACTGACTCATACATTAAAAAGTTATTTTTGATAAAGTTCCATTTCACTATTGCAATTGTTAATTTTGAGAGCATATGATTTGACACACACAGGAAAGTATATATATAGGAAATGTGTCAAATTGCATAAATTCTACCAGAACTAAAAACATTTCAATTCAGTACAAGAAATGTGCAACAACTGGCCTCTGGAACCTAAGTTAACAATTTTTATCTGTTTAGGTTTTTATGTAATGGAAATTATTCAAGAATAGGCAAAAAAAATCAGTTGAAAAAAGACAAACAAGGGTACAAGGCCTATCTTTGAAATATAAGAACAATAGAAACATAAAAACGCAACTGTTGTTTGAAGGTAAACAAAAATCCTGACTCCTTGTTGTGAAATTGTGTCGACACCCAACTGTTCATCTACCATGAAGTGTTTTCCAATCACTGCCATGTTATGCTGCCTTTCCTTGACCGTTCAATTTGTAAACAAAACTCATATAAATTTTAAAACCGAAAAAAAATTATATTTTGCCGGAGCTCGACATTTGTTTGAATTGTATGTGATACTCCTATCGGTATTTATCGTGTTTTTCATCAGCATTCCACCACTGAGTAATAACATAGTTAAAAAAAGAGTCTAAAATTTTTCTTTTGATTGCGAAAAACGTGATAATTTGGACACTTATGTATATTTTTATAGTTAATGGGTTACGTAAATTACAATTTTTCAATTATCATTTCAGAAAGAAAGACGAGTATTAGACATCGCCAGAATTGATCTTGATGCTGCAAGAAATAAAGTTAAGAGAGCACAATCACCAATAAGACTGA